TATATATATATATATATATATATAATTAATAAAATGCTATTAATATTCATTTAATTTATATAAAATATAAAACAATTTATAGAAAGGTATCACATGATAAATTAAATACAAAATATTTGTTTATTATTATTTTGTTCTTTTTTTATTTTTAATAATTTAAAAAAATATATTTTAAAATTGTATATATACACACACACACATGCATACATACTATAAAACTATAAAAATGTTGTAAATTAATTTATAGCTAGATAGATCTCTGTCTCATTAATCATTCAGCTCCAGTATATTCAGTACTGTGTTAATGAAATACAATTTTCAATGCGTTGACAAATGTAGTTGTGTTTGGATTAAAGCAAATCTCAGTGGGATCAAGTGATATTTTTCCTATCACATTTTACATGAAAACACAGATTCCTTTTGAAAACAACTGAAAACCAATAGAGATTACAGAGCAAGTCGTGCTCATAATTACTTTGCAGATTATGCACATGAAAAACAATGTCTTCCGTAATTATGTATATGAACTCTAGGAACTAAACAGCCAACAAATGCAGCTGTTGCCAGACAAGATGGTGCAAGAACATTTTAACAGACGGGTAATTTAAGACATTTACATCAGTATCAGTATGACAGCTTCTAAACAACTTTAACTTTTAGGTCTAAATTAACATGAACTCAGAATGTGCATTATTTCCCATATTTGTAACTTTATTTATGTGGCTTACCCATTTTCTAACATGATAAACTGAAAATATCAACATTTTATATAAGAGTGATAGTTCATATGAAAAATAGGGTTTCTGCAGCTTTTGTGAAGGTACATTTTTAAGACCAAGTAAAGAAAATTGAAGGAATAAATGGAAAGGAACACAAAGACATTCATCAAAATGAAGTGAGTTTATGATTAAAGCAAGAACAAATATCTGCCAGTAGGGTCTGAAAAATGACCTTTTCAAAGGAAAACATGACTTTATGCTCCAATTTAAGACTTTTTAAGGCTTTTTAAGACCAAGACCCGCAGAAACCCTGTCAAAGGGAAAACTAGCAATTTAAAAAGAAAAAAAAAGTTTTTCTCATAGTCAAGTGCTGATAAATAGCCTAGAAGAAATAGAGCAAAATACTTTTTCAAAAAATTTGTCAAATTTAAACACAAAGACCAACAAGACTGGTAAAACAAATGAAACGCATCAACAAAAAATCTCAAATCAAAGCTGTTCCTCATATTAACGCTTGTCTCATTGACTGATCACCCTGTCAAGTGATATTTTGGGTAATTAGGTACCATTTAAATACCAAAGTTGAAATATCCCTCTCCGTTAGACAGGGGGTGTTATCATTTCGGTCAGAGCCAGAAGCTAGAGACAGTCCCTAATCACACAGGATCGCCTAAGATAATGTAGTCTGTTTCCTAATGACCCTGCGCTCATGTCAAAGTCATTACTCTCCCGCTGAAGGCACATCATCTGCCTGGACAATCCGTAATTGGACTAAATGGTGAACTATGAAAGAACATTACACATGTCCCTTTATTAATTTGGGCACGAGAGTTTTGCAGTGGTAATTATCGGGGAGGGGTGGACAACGGCAGATGAAAGATAGCGAGTGACTGACTGCAGCAACTTTGACTTTAGAGTCAATGAAAGGAAATCGGCTCTCTCTCATGGACGCCGGATACGATGACGTCTCTGAAAGCTCCTTGGTTTCATCAAACCAGAGCCAGGCCGAGGGGAGACTGTGCCTTTGCTCTCATGTTTTTATTTATTGTGCAGGTTGTAAGAAAAGAGCAATACAATCTTTTAGATACTCCTGTCATTTTACCTTTCTTCTTGTTCTGCGTTGAAGAAAACTGAGCCTGGTGGGACCCCGGGCCTCCCTATGATCTGCAAATAACAGTGGGATTAAAAGATGTCAACAGTAAAGGAATTGATTTTTTTTGGCTTACTCTAGAATTTTTTCAGCAGTGAGCTAGCAGGGGGTCTTCTGTGTGGAGGTGGTTTCATTGGAGGGGCTGCATTCACAAATGGTCCTAACAGTGTGTTTGGGTCTTGGGGGAAAGAGAGCGAGGCCCTCTTGGAGGAAGAAGAAAGTTTTTTTTTTAATCTCATACTTTTTTTTCCCGAATATACCTAGTCAGGTGGAAATGACCTGTTTGTGGGACATTTTTGCGAAGCTTTGATCTCCATACTATGGAAGCCCGTTTCCGCCACTGAATAAAAAATAAAAAAAAGGTAATTGTGACTTTGTATCTCACAATTCTGACTTTTTTCCACAGAATTGCAAGATATAAACTCGCAATTACGAGTTATAAAGTCAGAATTGCGAGTTATAAAGTCACAATTGCGAGTTTATATCACACAATTCTGAGAAAAAAAGACAGAATTGCGAGTTTATATCACACAATTCTGAGAAACAAAGTCAGAATTGTGAGTTTATATCACACAATTCTGAGAAACAAAGTCAGAATTGTGAGATAAAAAGTCGCAATTACCTCTTTT